TTCTTCTTCTTCTTTTTTTTTTAAAAATACGTTTTAAAATATTCAATGCAAACCTTTTTGATGTTTTACACGTGCTTCTGGATTGGTCGTGCAAGTTTGACTCGCAATTTCTCTGTTAGTATCTCGTCATATAGACTGCGGATTTTTATGTAACTAAAACGTATTCAAAATATTGAATTAATACAAAGAAAATATGTAACATCCCTGTATACTTTATATCACAGCAACAGATCATTGCATTCACGCAAAATGATAAATGAAACTTGGATTTTTAATGCCCTATCGAAGTGACTTTTTGATTCATTTCGATATCTCAATCGCCGGGATATAAGGATGAGTCCATATCGTTTAAGATAGTGATTATGAATGGATGACTCTATATTTCTGAAAATAACTTTTTCTGAGAATCGTATAATTTATATAATTTGTAGTTTATCTGAAGATAGGTGAATGAGATGCGAGCGAAAAGTTTGATAAGCGATAAGAGAAAAGATAAGAAACGACGAAAAAATACACACCTTTTCTTTATTATATCTCGGCAATCGAAATTCGTATTAGAATAAATGAAAAAGCGTGAAAAACCTTTTAAAAGATTCCGCGCCTCTAACAATGGTTCATTCGTTGAACGGAAGTCATTATTTTTGGATTTTATGACGGTTCAAAAATTTTTTCTCAAATTTTAATAAGGTTTAATCAGGTATAAAATAAATGATAAATAATGGGATAAATGAAAATGCATTTTAAAGAACGAAATTTCTAATTATCCCTCTCCCATTGACCGAAAATCACTATCTTCAGAATTATAACGATTCAAATTCCTAATTTTATTAGAATTCAATCGAAATTTTAAAGTAAATTACGCAATAACTTACGTTCATTTTTAAAAGAATATTATCTTACAACGATCTGAATTGATTTAAAAAGTGAATCTTCTTGTTTAATCGAACGAGTTTCGTAATTTTACGGACGTTTCTAATTGGATATCTTATTTACGATTTTTTAAATTAAACACACGTGAATGTGAAAAATATGTATCGACATAAAATTCCACAGTCTATTCACGATAACTGTTAAAGAAACACACACACGAGCGCAAAGAAACTTGTGGCACACGCGTGGCTGGGAACGCGAGCAACCGACGAATGCGGTCATATCCAATTTCAACGAGGGATTAATACGCACTCGTTACGAGACGCGTTAAATTCTGGTCAAACATATGTGCGACGAGTTTGTGAAAGCACACTGCCCGTTATTTACCAATCTGATTATTACCTGACGAATCGGGAGAGGCCTCGTCACCTCCGATTTGGGCGAACCAGTGCATCGTTTGCTCTGCGGAAACATAAATTCCAACTTCGTTCTTATGGATTTTTCTCCGTTCAAACAGAACCACCCGTGTCGGCGAATCATCGTGTTTGCGATAGACACCCCGCACGTCCTCGATTGCCGTCCATTTATTAAATTTATCGCGCTTCTCCGATACGCGACTTCGCGAAACAGTGACAAATATTTAGAAACGTCCCGACTCGATTTACCTTCTAAATTTATCGAAAATTCCGGTTTAATTCAATCGTAAGGGAGGGGAAAGAAATATTTCGAAATAAAGGGAGAAGAATGGAGAAAGAAAAAAGAACAGCAACATTCGTACATTTGAAATTCACGATTTAAGAGAGCGTAAAGTCTCATATTATATTTCCGCAAGTTTTTTTAACGTGAAGAAAATAACGGCAAAAGGGAAAATAACGGAGATAGGGAATTTCCATGTCGGAAGCACGCGATCTTTCCGAACGACTCGTTTTAAATCGAATTTAAATTCCTCTAATGATACGGGAGGAATCACAGATCCGCTCTCTCTCTCTCTCTCTCGTTAATTGCGATACCATCTCGCTTATTTTTGTCCACGATTCGATTTGTCTGCGTTCGAGTGCGAGAGAAAGGGAAGACGTACGTTTCATCCGACGCGGATTCTTCCGCTTGCCGATTGCGAATGCGAGGGCAGAAAAAGCGAGGCAACAACCGTCTCGCCTCCGCGTCGGTTATAATTGATAATTGGAAAACCGTGAATGGACGTAAGGACGCGTAATTGCGAAAGGGGATTTTCTTTGGTTGAAGCGATCACGACTCGATAACAACGCACGGAGCTGTGCAAGAAATGGAAATGGAGGAGCTCGCGTTATCGCGTGGTCAATTATTCCATCACCAAGTCGTTCGAATCCTCTCTGAATTCCATCCATCCCTCCTCTCCCCGTTTCGAACAATCGTATTACCGAGGCCGAGCTGCTGTTTATCGCCCGGCAAACATCCATTCTTTCCCGTTGTTGCGAGATATTAATGGCCGATTCCATATCGGAGAGAACGAACGATCGATCGAATATAGGCGAGGGATCGATTCCGTTACGCGTTTCCGCGTAAAATGGAATTACATCCGATTATTGATGAACACCTTTTCGTACCCTGATTAATTGCAGTGGCTTACTTACTCGCGACCTCGTATCGCTTAAAAAAGAGAAGGAAGAAGGGATGAATGAAAACAGAAGAAAGAGAGAGAAGAAAAAAAAGAGCGATAGCGAGAGGTAGATTCGGTTTATTTTCATCGAACGACAGGCAGAAGAGGAAAGTTGGTGCTACCTGCCGATGTTGTTTCCGGCTGCTGATTGCAAATGTCAGAAGGAAAAAGTGTGAGAGCGAAAGAGGAAGAGAGAGAGAGAGAGAGAGAGGAGTCTTGCCTGATGGACCACCTCGTGGCAACCGTTGATGGTAATTGGACGTTTCATTAGCAATGCGGATGCGGAATCGAGCGAGCGAGAGAGAGAGGGAAAGAGGGAGGAAGAGGAGGAGCAGGAATCGAGAGAGGGACAGGAAAATGGTGGTGGAAGTGCGGGAGGAAACGCGCGCGAGAAGCTAGAAAGGGAAACAGGGTGAAAGCGTTTCGACGTTCCTGATAACGTTACGGATATAAAGTTGTGTCGGATACGCGGAGAGGTTCTGTCGTCGATGAAACGCGCGTTAATGAAAATAAGAAAAATATATATACATGAAAGGATGTGCGCTCCAAATGTGACACGTATTAATTAATACCAACGCTTCGCTTTTCACGAAGTGAAAAGTATATAGAGAACAGTCTCGATTGCGAATCAATCAACCGTTCGCCATAAAAAACTTGCCATACAGAAATTCGAGAAACTCTCCTCGTTGGATATATATATA